CCATCCTCCATCCTCCATGTCCGCTTTCAACTATTGGCAGTTGTCGTAGTTTTTATCCTTTGAGAAGTGAGCCAGGGAAAGGAGCGGGTGGTAATCCGTAGGCGCAAGACCTGGCGAATATGGAGGATGGGGTAAAACCGCAGATCCAAGTTCCGCCAATGTGTCCTGGGTTACCCTTGCAACATGGGGTCGCGCGTTGTCATGAAGAAGAAAACTTCGTCCAGCTTCGGGCGAAGTTTCGCGACTTCAGCTGCGAGCCTTCGTGGTTGTGAGCAGTACACCTCAGGCGTCGACGATGGTATTGTCTGGCATCTCGTAATGACGTGTTCCCCGAACTCTCCACCAAACTGACAGAGGAACTTTCTTGGGATGAACCTCCTGCTTTGGAACAGGCTCTGGCTTCTGGTTCGCACCCATTCACTGTCTTCTTCTGGTATGACATAGGTAGTAGAGCCCCCACCTTTCATCTCCAGTAATTACATTATCCAACCAGTCGAAACGGCGACTCCTTGCAAGAAAACCTCTGCACACCCCGATACCTCTTTTCTTGCAATGCTCTGTCAGCTCATGAGGGATCAATCGACCAAGTTTCTCAACTTTTTCCAGCATGTGATGAACACGACCTGTGGCCATGTTGAAGCAGTGCATCTCCTTTGCCAGCTCCATGGCGCTTGCATGCGGAAAGTCTTGAAGTAACAGCTCCAAACGTTCGAAATTAACTTTCGTTGGGCGTCCATCTTCGAGGTTGTAGTTTCCTTCGCGGAGCCTTCTGAACCAAAGTTGGCAGGTTTTTTCACTTACCACTCCCCCTACTTCCACAGAGCATATTTTGCGGCAGGCTTCGCTCGCTGTGTGTCCCAGACAAAATTCGCAAAGAAGTCAGTGGCGTACATGGGTAGAAACTTATGGCATTTTCCAGGCTCCAAAAGGCCTGCAGGAGGTGAGACTCGGAAATATGAAGGGATGTTACCATTCCTGTATATGGTTAAAAAATTTCCCCTCCAGGTTAATGCGCAGCCGTTTGTCAGGACTTTGAAGAAATGCGCCAGGACTTTCGTTGCGACCTAATACTACCCACAAATTTCCCGGAAACTCGCATCTAAAGATATTTTCAAGAAGAGCTTCAGAGTGGAAATGCGTTGCACGTAAACACAATTTCTAATATCAAGACAACATTGCAAGTTGAAAAAGGAACG